TTGTAACTTGCCAAGTACAGACTGAAACCTCCACAAACTGTAAGCGAAATGAACTTTTCCTTCCTTAATTTTGGGTGTCAGGTATTTTGTCCCAGGAACGAGAAAAAAGTAACCAAGACAAAGTGAAGGAAAGAAATAGTAGGATTTTGTTGAGGTTTTCACATCTTTTCTGAATTGCACATAAAATGGATTTGACAGAGGAAAGAGGAGAGCATATCAGAGGGTAAGAGGATGTCAGGGGACTTGGATGAAAACATAATAGTAACTCAGCTCAGGAACAGATGGAAAGTAATGTGTAGACATAGGACACACAGGATCTGGAATTATTGACAGGTCTCTGACGAAAATCACATGAAATAGAAGAAAAAAAACTTCGTGCTTGGTTCCTTCCTTCAGCATGCTGAAAAAACCACTTTGGTTTGTGAAAACAAAATAAATGCTGTAAATCATCTTTAACATCTCCAAGACTTTCACTAGAATGTATATGTATGCATACCTGCAGGTGTATTTATGTGTGCACTCATGCATATGTGGAATAAATGTTTCAATATCTAATCATAGAAATAATCTCTAACCTCATGCTTTCAACCACAAAATTTTCAAAATAAATTTAATGAAGTGGAGTAAAGTTTCACTTATTCATCATCTTATAAATTCATCATTTTAATGTTATGATTTTGTGTATATTACAATATTTAATTTTGTACATATTTTCTACAGTGGCAAAAGTATGGTGGTTGTGCAACCATAGCTACACTTCTAAATTTTTTTTGATTGTTTTCATCATCCCCAACAGAAACTCAGTATCCATTAATCAGTGTCTCCCTATTCTACGTTCCTCCCCACCTATGGTAACTTCTGATCTACTTTGGTGTTTAGAAAGGAGATTATACAATAATGTGTATAACTAGATTCGTACGTATTTGCCTTTTGTGCCTGGCTTACTTCACTTAGGATTCTTTCAAAGTTCACTGAAACAAAATTCACTGAAACATTGCAGCATATATTCAAAATTTATCCTGTTTAAAGATAGAACAATAACCTATTGTATGTACATAATCCATTCTGTTCATCTATCCATCTATTGGTAGACATGTGTTGTTTAAATATTTTGGCTGCTGGGAATAATGTTTTGGTGAATAGTAGCACAGATGTCTTGATTTTCAATTTTATTTTAAATGTATACTTAGAAATGGAGTTTTGCAGCCATATAGGAATTTTATATCACTTTGTGGAATGCCTTCTTTCTGTGTTCTTAGCTGCTATACTATTTTCCATTCACATCAGTGATATAATGAGGTTTCAATTACTCCACTACTCACCAACACTTGTTATATTCTGCTGTTTTGAATAAGTCATCTTACTAAGCGTGGTGGTATCTTGCTGTGATTTTAATTTTTCATTTGTCATAGGACTAATGATGGTTAACACCTATCATGTGATTATTAGCACTTCTTATGCACGCTTTTTTGATAAAATGAACCAAATGATTTCTAAACCATGCTGTGCAGATATTCTTTTAAATACTCTCCTATAATGAGCCTGGAGACTTCTTAAACTTCTAATTCTTATTTTATGTTTTTCTAATAAAATCTTACATCCCTCATAAGTAGATGATTTTTTTTTTGGTACTGGGATTCAAACTCAGGGCCTCACACTTGCCAGGCTGTCCCTGTACCTCTGAGCTCCATCCCTGGCCTGATAATTTCTTAAAAAATTTATTAAATGATTGACACTTTCCACTTTGCATGTCCAGATTATACTTACACATATCTGTCCACCTCCCCACTCCATGAAAAATGTGTTCCAAGACGATCTTTTGAAGGCCAAAAAGTTCCTAGAGGAAGCAGTTTTTTAGCTGAAATTATTTCAATAAAATTTTTAGTTGACTGAAAATAATGTGACATGGAAACACAGAAATAAGAAGATTTACAGATGCCAGAAAATTAAGGGGTAGATATTTTACAGACAGCTCAAACTTAGAGCGCTTAACTAGAAGCTCAGTGTGACCCAACAGAAATTTACAGAATGGAATTAATATGGCAGCACCTGAATTGGTATGTTCAACTTGGGGGTGCATCATAAGACATGCTTTAGGATTTTAAATCATTATGTGATTAGCGGGTAAATGTCTAACAAATGCTAATCCGTAAAGAAATCTTAGAGGAAATAATGCTGTTGTTTTTCCATATCCACGGAGAATATGCAAATGTTATTACTTAGACCAGATTAGTTTGATTCTGAATATAAGAACTGGAAATAAGGAATAGGTATTAGATATTAGATTTCTATCATATATGAATTATATGTGTTATTTATTATATGTACGATTTTTATATATAGATTAGTTACATATATAGATTATATGCATATAGCTCATAGAGTAAGTAGTGCACTTTCAATAGATGGAAAGGAAAAATGGATGTCTTATAAGCAATAGTCAGGATTTTTTTTTAGGTACTGGGAATCAAACTCAGGACCTTGCACTTGCCAGGCAGGTGCTTTCGCCACTGAGCTATATCCCCGGCCCCTATCAGGATGAACTTCTTAGGTAGCAAATCAAGAATTTGGTGAATGATTGGGTTCAATAGGCTCTTCAGGTTATTATTCCTAAAACAACTATTGTTTTTGAAAATATGACGTAAACAGTTCAAAAAGAGGGAAGTGAAACACTTTTCTTCAAATGTCAATATTCAGGAAGAAAAAGTGCCTAATATCCCCTCCTTATCACCCACAGAACACTGAAAATAATTCAGGTCATGCCTCATCTGAGGTGAAAGACACATCTTGTCTACCCAGAAAAAGTGGAGATCATAGATACCAACTTAATTGGCCCAGACTATCCCTGGTGAGAGAGGAGATGAGGACTATTTTGGTACATTCAAGTAGCCTGTGTGGCAACGATCTAGAATGACCCTTTGGGAGTTATTTCTTTAATAAATATACCTCTCTTCAGGGTTTTGACTATACCTTGAAAACACAGCAATAATCCAACCCCAGGTCGTGCTTAGAAGAAAAAGAAAATTGAATTAGGTAAGGAAAACCAGGAGTTTAATGCAGTAAGGCTATTTAAAGGTAACATTTCTGCTT